GAAGTTAAGTTAATATTATAAAAGTGTCAATGTTCTACAAAGTAATTAATACCATTCAATGCAATCCCAAATGAACATTTTAAGTTTTTTGAGGCAGTTACCAAACATATGCTAGAATTTATATGGAAGGATAAAGGTTCACAAGCAGCTTAAAAAAGAAAAGTAAAGAGAGGAGACTTAAACTACCAGATATTAAGACTTGCCTCAAAGTCATTACATTAAAACCAGACAGGTCTAAGCACAAGAACAAACAGACCAAGGAGACAAAGGGCTGAGAGACAGAGAGCAGGTAGGCAAACCGAATGTACAATAAAGCTGGCACCAGACGTGAAAGAGGGAGAGAATAGATAGTTTAGTAGGCATTAATAGGAAAGTTGACGCTTCGTATGGATAAAAACAAAACTGGATCTTCATGAAACGCCATATACAATGGCAGGTATCAGTCAAAGTCATGAAGCCAATAAAAGAAAACGCAGGTGCACATTTTTGTGACATGATCAGAAAGGCCTTCTTTAAAACATAACTTGAAAATCATAAACCTGAATGCAAAAAAAAAAAAAAAAGATGAATTTGAAGAATTTGAATGTATAAAAAGTAAGGCTTTATACTCAAGGAAGGATATCACACATAATATTAATAGACAGATGAAAAGATGGAAAGAAATATTTGAACACTCTACAACTAACAAGGGAAATCTAGAATACAGAAGGAACTTATTTAGAAGGATATCTAGAATATAGAAGGAATGCATCTCAACAAGATGGCAACTGAAAGATAAAAATGGGTAAGGGACATGAATTGGCAAAACAATAAAACCAGAAGAGAAAAATCCAGTAAAAAGGCACATAAAGAGAGGCTCAAACTCATTATCAGAGAAATGCAAATTAAAACAACAATGAGCTATCACTGTATAAGACTGACGAAAAATTAGGAAGCTGAATATTGGCGAAAGCTGGTGGGAAAAGAGCGATCCTCACGCAGGGCTGGGGACTGTGGACAGACGGCTCTGGAGGAGGCCATGAGAGCCCTCCCTCAGACGCAGTATACACACACACACCGACCAGCAAGCATCCTCATGGGCATCAGCTAAGGAAATTCTTGTGCAGGGGGATGCGAACAGAGATGTTCATTGTGCTGTCGTCAGTAGTGATAAGGAGTTGGAGCCATGAGGAGGTGGTGTGCATCTCTGCAGAAACAGATATGCAGTGTTCTTCCATGGGGTATGCAGCAGACAGAGGCCACAGTCTAGAAACAGACAGAGGAATACGGATGGCTCCAAACGCTATGCCGAGCGAGGGAGCAAAGCCAGAAACAGAACAAGACATATAGCCACGTACATAACTTAAAAACACAGGTCAATAAAACATGCACATTGTCCAAGAACACAGTTTAAAAGTACACACTAGAACAGTGGCCTAGGGGGAAGATAGGAATAGGAGTCGAGAAAAGGATGAAAAGGGAATGAAAATGAATGAATGGAGGGTGCTGTGATGATAACGTGCCACCAACGGGGGAGTATGATTAATTCAATCCCTCTATTCTGAGATACAAATAGACAGCAGAGAAGAAGAGCAGAGGAAAAAGGCTCTGCAAAGAAATGAGCACGTTATTTATCTGCTGCCATCCTCTCCCTGGCAACTGGGCCGTTTGGAAAATACCAGCAGCTGACAGACATTATTTATGGCCCTGTCTTATACCCCACGGGCACTGTATGCCCTGAGAGAAATTTCAAGATGAAAGCCACAGATTCAGAAGTGCCCCAGAGGAATTTTCTTTTGCTACCTGCCCATTCTGGCTCTGCGACAAAATGCTGGCATTCAAATTCCAACCCCCAAACATTTCCAAGAAAGAGAATGCTAGACATTTGGAATTTGGATATTAAAGGTGAAAAGAGCAATGCCCCACTCGTAAATTCATATCAGATTGACTTCTTAACTTTAAAAGATTTTTTATTGTGGTATAAACAGAGAACTGCAGAACAATTCAGACCCTGGGCAAGAATGCCACCTGTGGCAGATGAGCCCTATGGGGGTGGAGGTGGTGGGGGGAGTGAAACTGCAAATTACTGTGACCAAGAGATACTAAAAATACAACCATTTCGGAGGGGAGGGACAGCTCAGGCACCGTATGACATGAAAAAGGGGTCCCAATGCCAGAGGAGGTGAGGAAGCACCAACCCAGAACATCACTCTGGGCTTGCCAACTTGGAAATCAGTGATCAGGTATCTTAATACCCTAGAAAACTAAGTTCTCCCTAAACTTCTCCTGGAAAAGTTGCCCACATGTTTTAACCCATCTTTTCCTCTCCTGCTTGCTACGTGAAAGGGTAAGCAACTGGGGAGGCATGACAGACTCAAGGCAGCCAACCCTGTGCTCAGTGAATAGCGGGATGCCAAAAGCATAACGTTGCAAGTGTCTGTGTTTTCCAAAATGGAACTTTTTGTATTGCTCTTTTCCTAGGGAGGTAGAATATCCTTGTAGTTAACAGTAGAGGCTTTAGAGTTAGAACTCAGATTAAATTGTGTCCCCTGAGCTTACTCGCCTCAATTTCCTAGTCTACAAAGTAGGTCAAAGGCACTTACTTATCTTACAGAGTATTGCAAGCATTAAATGAACTAATGTGCATAAAACATCCTGAAACACAGTAAGTGGTCAATAAATGCTATCTATCAATAGCTATCATGGTAAAATATATGCTCGTTATGTAGGCAATGCAGAGTATAGAGAGGTATTTAAAGTAGGTCAGTCCCTCCTAATAATCCACCCTCCACCCTGATAAAGACCTGGATGAAAAACGTTTTTGCAGACTTTTTCCTATCACTCTATTTAGGTAAATCACATAATTTATTTTATTAAATGCATTGTTCTATAACCTGATTTTTAAAAAAACTCGATTAACAATATACCGTGGGGACCATGTCTACAAATATACACAGATCTCTCGTTCTTTTTAAAGGCTACATAGTACTCTACGATATTTTGAATCAATTTCCTATTGGACATTTAGGTCGTCTCCAATTCTTTGCTACCATTGCCCATGCTCCAGTGAACTTTGTTCCACCAACATCTTTGCACTCTAGTCTATTTCTTTAGGACAAACTGTTGGATCAAAGGATATTTACTTTTTAAAGGCTTCCAATGCATATTCCCAAAAGGTCTTGCAGAATGGTAGAACTAGCTGTCATGCCCACCAATAGAATCAGGGCCATCTTTCAAATCTATTGGCACTTATCTCGGGCAGAGAGAAGCAGGTTCGTAAGATCATTTACCAGTAAACTTCAGGTTGCGGGGTGGGGGTGGGGGGGTCTCTACTCATAAGCCTCTCACCCTCCACAGCTCTTGGGTCCTTAGAAGTAGTGTGTCCCAGGGTGGGGCATAGTTTGGGCATCTGTTACTTATGCCTGCTTGGCACCTAGCCTCTCTTGTCCTGGTGGGTTCCCTGATTCCCCTCTGGCAAACTACTCTGTTCCCATTTCATACAGTACACTTGAAACTGTCAATCAAGGTGCATTGGGCTTTTCCACCGGGTGAGTCCAAGCTAGACTAACTGGATGCTCTCTTTCCTGGGAATCTGAATTTTCAGAAGAGTAGGCAAGGACTAAAAACAGCTTAGTTTTATGATCCTGCAAATATCATCCAGAAGACCCTTTCTCATTGGTTCCTGGGTCTCTAGAGTTGGTATATTTTTAAGCCTGGTTCTTTAGCTCATCCTACCTTACTGTGCGTTACCCTACAGCCTTCCATATTCCTTCATAATTATTACTATTGTTTTTGCTATTGTTATTTTAGCCCAAGTTAGCCAGGGTTGATTTCATATATTCTAAAGTAATCCCACCTGATGGAAGGATGGGGAGATGATTTCTTTACTTCCTTGAATATTTACTTGAAAAAAATTTATCTCGATCAATTCTTCAGGGGAAAAAAAAACCCATAGAAGCACTTTTTTCCCCTCCCAAAGACCTCTTAACCTACAAAAAGCAACCATTCCAAATTACTTAATATCTCATATAAAACTCCTGGTTAAAATTTTTATTTTGTAAAGAATGAAAGGAGAAAAATCTCTGTCCTATATTGGATTTCACACACACACACACACACACACACACACACACACACAGAATTCATCTTTTTGTCCACATGGAGAGGCACAAATATTTTACTGATTTCTCTGACATGACTGGAATTCATGGTAGGGCTATCTTTGAATTTTTCTCCACACAGATTTTACAAAGCAAATCTGAGGCAAGGGGACAGGATTTCCTTTGTACTCTTTGTAGCAACCTGGAAGGAATTTGTTTTTCTCTTAGGCACCAAGGAGATAATCAGCCCAAACACTCTTGCAGTAGCAGTTTTATTTTAATCCCCTCATCTCTACAAGGCTGCAGGTGCCCTTGGAAATCATGATTGAACGGAGTGCTCGGAGCCAGCAGCAGGGGAAATGTCCTGTAGATTCTACAGAGGCCGCCCAGGGTCAGTCCCATCAAGGGAATTATTACGGAGCTCACCATCCCCCCTCCTGCCTCCCTAAAGAAGCCGCAGAGAACACAGGGTTACTAAGTGAGCTCTAAGATAGCTGTTGCCTCTCCAGGCCTTTGAGCAAGACTGTATTCCAGGAGGCAACGTCAACTCTGGCGTTCTCGCAGTGCAGGGCTCTTGAGGAGCTGGGTATTATTGGATTAAGTGACTTTTAAGTGATGATTGGGGCTACATTCTTAAGACGACCTGGGATTAACTGAGATAATGTACATGAAAAATGTTTTGTAAAGTGTGAAGGGTTATATAATGCAAAGTGTCATGACAGCCTTGCCAGTCAGGCTCACCGAGTGTCCTGGAGTCACTGGCACGGTAAGTCAGGGTGGAAGCGTCTCAGGTTGCACCGGGGAAATGGGGCCGACCCAACAAGCCCACAGCACCTCCTGGTGGCTCCTCCCCAGAGCAGCAACGTCTCAAAGCCCAATCCCAGCCCCAGCCATAGAAAATTATCCAAGCACCGTACTTACTCCCTTCGCTCTGACTGTCTTTGTTGGAGTTGTAGACCTGGAAAAGAGAAATAAACATTTACTTGTGTGCATTTTAGACCACGCTACAGGTTCAGTGAAGAAAACCGTTACCTTCCCTCTTTCCCCAGTTTGTGCTGTAAGATGGAAGGCCATGTCTAGCTACCAAAAGTGAGTCCCCTTCTATAATTATCTACTTCCCAGTTTTACTTCGGCTGTTCTTAAGTGTGTGTACACTGGAGTCATCTGTGGAACTTTACTGTAAAAAAAAAACCCGTATTCCTTCTGTTAATAAAAACAAACTATGCATGTGTATGAAGCTAAAAAGGAGAAAATATTTTAAACCAGGCAATGTGCTAAGCAATTCACATGAATTATCTCGAATTATCCACACAACAATTCTGTTGGGTAGGAACTGTTGTTATCACTGTTTTACAAATGAGAATTTGAGATTTGGAGATGTTAACAAAGGCTTCACAGCTGGCAAGTGGCAAATTCAGGACAAAGATTCATTATGACTTTTTAACAACATGTTAACACTGAGAAAGGGGACCAATCATTCTTTACCTTACAGGCTTTTGTAAATTTGAATTTTATAAGGAGAATATATTACTTTTACCATAGAAACCCCTTAAAGAACTTACAGAAACCATAAAAAGGAAAAGTGCCCTATATAAAACAGACGATGACATACTGCAAGAGTTGGAAAGCTTTTTCTGTAAAGGGCCAGACAGTAAATATTTTAGGCTTTGCGGGCCAGGAGGCAAAAAATCAATATTATGCAGGTATTTGTGTAAAAAGAAAGGAAACAAATTTCCACAATATTTTTGTTGATAAAATTCAAAACATCATAACTTTTCAAAATACAGGTATAATATTCCTAGCAGGTGAAAATCCCTTTAAGGGTTTCATGGCTCTCTTTTCAGAGGTGCTTGGCTCAGTTCCTCTAAGGGTTAAATAAGTGGTTCTCAACCAAAAGCGGCCATCAGAACCACGTGGAAGATCATCTTTTTTTTTTTTTAACACGTTATGATGACCAACTTCACCCTATGACTTTTCATACCTACAGAATCATAATCACCAAAGAAAGATTTGGGCACTATGATCTTTTTCTAAAGCAGAAGCTTTATTTTATTTAATATGTCAGCATATCGGGGATTGGCAAAGGATGGCCCACAGGCCAAATCCAGCTTTTGTACAGCCCATGAGCTAAACCTGGTCACTGCAGATGAACATTTGCCATTGATTTGATAAGAAATACTAACTTTGAACACTAATTAAGCTACATGTTACCCTGACGCTATAAAAAAAATCTATTTCCTCTGATTAGTAGACCTGTATTTAAAAAACTTATAGTCCTTGGAAAAGACCAGAGGGGATACAGTTGCCCATTCTCCTTTAGCAGCACCCCCACCATGGATATAAATGAAGAATTTGGACCAGACCATGGTTTTCAAATCAAGCCCCACAGGACCCGCACCAGGACTGCAGAAGAGGCGGGGAGAGAAGCTAAGCCTCCAAGTATCCCAAGGCACCAAACCCCCTTCCCTTTGCTTATAATGGCTTCAAATAAGGGGACACTGGCTTTGAAAAGAGTGAAGACCTCTTGAACGGGTAATTGCTAAAGTGACTTGCAATTCATGAATTTGTCTGTTCCTTCATGCATTTAACAAGGATTGATTGTGTGCTTGGAACGGTCAGGGAGCCTTCTAGGTGCTGGGGATATGGACAAACGCCATAGCTATGGCCTCTGCCAACTAGGGAAGAAAACAGAAATAAACAGACTCACAAATATGATATTCAAATATGATATTCAAATATGATATTGATAAGGACAGTGGAGAAAATAAAAGAGGCCACTGTGGACCTGAGGTAGGGGAAAGCTTCTCTGAGGAGGTAACAGCTGCATGAGACCCGACTGATGAGAGAGGCCCTCCTTGGGACAACCTGGGGCCACGGCCAACAGCAAGCACAGGTCTTTGAGATGAAAAAGGCCTGTCCTTTTGGAAGGAGGAAAGCCAGTGTGGTTGGCAGTCAGTGCAGGGTAGGAGATGAGGAGGGTGGGGCCGAGGGGCAGTGACGTCATCCTGCAGGGCCTTGTGACCCATGAGGAAAACGGGCAACCTGGTCAGAGCCAGGACCAGTGATCCATGGTAAATGGCTTTCACTAATCTTGGAAAGCTGTGTAAGGGGAAGTGCAGAGAAAGAGGCCATACGAGTATTTTGGCAAGTGCTTTTATCAGACATCCCTGATCACCTCATTCCTCCCATTAAATTCAAACATCCTATCCCAGAGAAACGCGTTTCTATTTATAAATGACAAAATCCAGAAAGAATAGCAAAATGCAGGGCTTCCAGCACTCCTTAATTAGGAGGTGAGTTTGTACCAAATTACTTTCTTTCTGGGTTTCCTGGGTCTCAGGAGGCCCCTGCCTAGAACACCCACGCATTCCCCAAATTGGAGAGGTGTGATCAATGAGCCAAAGGTGCCAGGAACATGTGCTGTCCGGTCCTCTGAGGCCAGGCCATTCATCTCTGTCTGGTTTGGGTAAATGAGCCAAAGAGAATGAGTTTTGAAGTGAAGCTAATAAACCGTGCCTGCCAGGAGTGCGTGACTCCAGGGACCAACCAGGAAGGCCCAGAGGCGGGGAGCAGCCTCAACGTCACAAAGGCCAGATGGTGGCACAGTGAGAGGGTGGCACCATCCGTCTAACAGTGAGGAAGGCAAGGAGGGTGAGGAAAGCCTTCGTATGCTCCCTCTGTACTAAGAGGACTGAGAGCACTAAGAGGGAATGGCTTCGGTGAACGAGCATTTACCAAGTACCATACACAACCTCCTCTCATCCTTGAAACCATCTCATGGGTTAGGTGCTAGTGCTATTTCCATGCTACGGGTGTGGGATGGGAGGCCCAGGGAGGTTACACTGTTTGCCAAGGATACAGAACTGGTAGGTGGCATACTCTTCATCTTGCCTGTCCAGGGATGTTCCCACCCTCTTGTACATTTCCAGGCAGTGGCAAGTGCACACAACCACCAAGCACCCCAGTAGCTGGTGGTTCATAAACACCATCCGCACCGGCAGAAGCAAAGGCTGTGCGACTCGCCCTTTAGAAATGGTCTGTTCTAAAGACTGTTAGAAATCATAGAAAGCATAGTTGCCCGCCAATGTCAGACTCAAGTTCAGAGGCAAGGGCAATTTCCTGAAATAAAAGGTCTCTGGCCGTGGTTTCTGTCTTAGGATTAGCAGTTATCTCAGATCTATACGTTTTCAAGTAAGCACCTCCACAGCCTTTGTCATGAAAGGATAGAACCCAACTCTCCAGGGTCAATTCAAGGGAACATGAGTCACTAAACAATTACTGAATTATGGCGACTAGGAAGACTGAATCGGTTAATACACCTTCTCAATACCTGAAGCAATAGTCTATCTGGCCTGCTTAGCCAGAGTGCTCTAAGACCTGGCCACACTAAAGTAAGTGTCTTAGCCCTCCGGCTTTATAAACTTTGATGTGGGTAGGCTCTAGCACCTGCTGAACACTGTCCATGAAGCTCTGTTAACTATCCATGCCAATGATTGCTTGTTTCCAAGTGAATGCTTCTAGGGAATAGAAATTACCTGTCTTTATCTTATCAGGATCCATCGAGAGTCATTATGGAATAATTACAATAGCAATAAAAAAGGAATGAAAATGATGTTGACAAAAGCCTACTTATGCGTCAGGCACGAGGCCAAGCACTCTATATGCACTACCTTGTTTAGTCTTCACATCGACCTAATTATTCCCATCATATAGATGAGCAAATTGAGGCATTAGAGAGGTTACATCAATTGCCCAAGGTCAAGTAGGTGGAAGTGAGAGGAATCCAGACAAGAACTCCTACAGTCCGAGAGCCGAAGCTCTTAACCACTGATCCACATGATAAGTAAGACATTGTGATGATAATGATGATGATGATGGTGGTGGTGATGGTGGTGATGATAATAAAGGTGATCAGATGTCCTGGGCAGCTGGGGAAGGTAAGTCACTGGAGGAAAGAATGTGCCACCAGTCTGAGAGAAAATGAGACTGGGAAGGGCCTTCTGATTCATTCGCCATTAACCTATGCGACAAGCTGGCATCTAACACAGAAGTGACACTTCGTATTCTGTTTGAACCACAGGGCTTGATCCTGAAGATAAACACCAGGCAGGAAAGTGGGTCTCTGATACAAATCACAGGGCACCACAATTTTATGAGCCCTCACCCAGAAGCTACAATGGGAGCGCAATGTAATAAATCCACGGAGGGTGAGGAAAGCCTTTATATGGTTCCTCTGCACGAAAATGTGATTTTGCAATAAATTCTGTTCACTGCTGGGCCAATTCAATTTATATGTCCCTAGAGAATTCAAAGAGACTACAGAATCATTTGGATTCCCAGAATTTTTCTACGGGTAACCTTTCCTACCCTTTTCCAGGCCTTACTAAGAAAGCAGAGAGGAATTTCTTTTAACTTATACATTAAAGGCACAAATAAAGCAATCGTTAGAGGAAACAATCTCCCCTTGCTCTCTGACACACAGCTGCATTGGTGCGTGGCCACACCAAACTTTGGATCAAAGTCTGCACAAAATGAAGGTGCTGGGGAAATAGATTCATAGGCAAATTTATTTAAAACTCCTGCTCCTCTCTAAACCGCACCTGAACTCATACCAAAGCTCCATTTCCCTGAGGTCGTTTCCAAGTAGCCTGAGCTATCTAAACCCCATCACACCTGGTTGTTCCCATATGCCAATGTGGAGACACACAAAACAGAACTATGTGCCAGCAACTTAACTACTGCACAAGCCAGTTCTACACCATCAGATAACATTCTGCCCCTTCTCTCCGTGTGACACAGTGGCTCCACCACCACCAGGACCTGCTCCTTTGAATTGTTTCTCTGGCAGTGGTGACAGGTTTGTAGTAATCTGCTCTTAGGTTCAAAGTCCAGCTCTACCATTATTGACTATACATTCCAGTCACTCAGCATCACTAAACCTCTGTCTTGCCACCTATA